AAGTTATAAATAGGAGATATTAGATTTAAAATCTCCTACTTAGAAAAAAAAAAAGAGAAAGAAAGAAAAACCCGCACTGCTCTTGCTAACACGTAAAAATAAACGGGTGGAACCTGGATTTTGATTAGACGAGTATTTTGACCAAACCTTTTTTCTCGTTTTCCTTTTAACTTCTAGATGGAGATATTTAATTAATTATACCAAACGAAAAGAAAATTCATACACACATGTGGGATTATAAAAGAATTGCCACGTTCAAGATTACTAAACATGTGTGCATAAATACATGGGGAAGGTCGGTCAATGGGTTGTTGGGGTAATTGTCAGGACCACATTTTTGACCTTGTTTTCTTCAACAAATTTATGTAATCTTCCATGCATGATGAGGGTGAGAATGGGGACTAAGAAACTACAGTCCCTAACTCCCTATCAATGGATGTATTCCGGTGACTCAATAGCTATTCTTCTTCTTCTTCTTCATCTTTATCTAAAAGTGCGAAAGAAAAACTGATAAATGAACATAGATTATATTGATATTTGGTTAACGGTAGAAGTTCTAACCCAACCTCGAAAGTTTACGCGCGTAGCGTTTGCTGGCTGGCTTTCTACATGGAGGCATAGACAAAAGAAAGACGTCTTGACATCGACAGTCCATCAACTTGAGAAACGGTGTGCCAATTAGTCGGAGGGAGAAATAATGAGCCAATTAGATGAAAGGCTGACTAAAGAAACTATTATCTGCACTGTGAGTTATGACCAAACAAGTGGAATTGCTATATTTGTTCACATGGAAATGCTTGTTCCTCCTCGTGTTGTCTAATTAATTGCTAGTTCTCCTCTTAGAAGCAATCAAATTTGGGATAAGAATGGGAAGTCAGAAGTGGGAATGGCCGTACTCTAATAGTCCATGAAATCATAATCTCCTCTTTTTCTTCTTGCTTTCCATTTTTCGAACGGCAATTAAATACTTCCTCCTCCTGCCTATAGGATGAGCCAATTTACTACAACCAAGTACACCTTCTCCAATATTCCAATGAACGTGGATTCAACCTTGAAGTCCACTTTCGATGAAAATGGTTGGGTTGTTAGAATCAGTCGAAAACTGGACGAAGAGCTTGAAGAAGAAATTGAAATCCCTGTTAGCATCTTTAATGTCCCTAAAACCCTTTTGAATAGCCATCCCATTTCCTATGTACCCCAGCAAATTGCCATTGGCCCGTACCACTATTTTAGTCCCGAGCACTATGAAATGGAGAGATACAAGGTTGCAGCAGCTAAGAAAATTCAGAAAGAGAACCAAAATCTCAAGTTTCATCATGTCGTTGACCAGTTCAAGAGGCACGAGCAAAGGATTCGGGCTCACTATCACAGATACCTCAATCTCAATGGTGAAACTTTAGCTTGGATGATGGCTGTGGATGCTTCTTTCTTGCTTGAGTTCCTGAGAATCTATGCTGTGAAAGAAAGTGAGGTATTGACTCGAATCTCTTCGAGCATGTCACATTTTATCGATGTTGCAGGCAAAAAGTCAGCTCATAATGCTATCCTTAGAGATATTGTGATGCTAGAGAATCAAATTCCACTCTTCCTGTTGAGAAAGGTGTTAGAGTTCCAACTTTCATCACTAGACTTGGCGGATGAGCTGCTGATTTCGATGCTGACCGGGTTCTACGAAGAGATATCTCCATTTAAGGCTATTGGAGAATCGCCAAATCTTGAAGTCATGACCAAGAGTGCTCATTTGCTAGACTTCTTGTACCATACCATCGTGCCCAAATTTGAAGGACCATCTGGGGAAGCAGAAATTGACCAAGAACATGATGAAGTCAAGGAGGGTGAAGAACATTCCTCCCAGAAATCGAGCCATGTCAAAAAACTTCTTGACATGGTGTGGAACGCACTCTCTAAGTTGGATTGCGGTCCGGTACGAATGATTAAAAGTATTTTGCTCTCAAAACCGATTGAAGTTATCTTGAAGTTGCCTTGGACGATTATCTCTACCTTTCCGGGGTTAAGATTGTTGAAACAACCTATCGAAAACTTGTTCTTCCCTCTAAATAAAGAAGAGGGCAAGGCAGAAAATGAAAATTCTAAAGCTGGAGAAAAGTTTGAAAAACCTCCATTGGTGGAGGAAATAATTATCCCATCAGTCACTGAACTTTCTAAGGCTGGGGTTCGATTTGTTCCAACTCATGCAGGCATTTCAAGCATCAACTTTGATGTTAAAACAAAGACTTTTTATCTCCCTGTGGTTTGTTTAGACGTTAACTCGGAAGTGGTTTTGAGAAACTTGGTGGCCTATGAAGCATGCAATGGCTCAGGGCCATTGGTTTTTACTCGGTATACAGAATTGATGAATGGGACTATTGACACTGGAGAGGACGTCAAGTTTCTCAGAGAAAAGGGTATAATTGTGAACCATTTGAAGAGGGATGAAGAAGTGGCGAAACTGTGGAATGGCATGAGCAAATCTATCAGATTGACGAAGGTGGAGCTTTTGGATAAAGCCATTGGAGATGTGAACAAGTATTACAACGGAAAGTTCATAGTAAAATTCAAGAAATTCGTGACAAGATATGTCTTTGAGTCATGGAAATTTTTAACATTTTTTGCTGCAATTCTGATGTTGCTATTGATGTCTGTACAAGCGCTTTGCTCTGTCTATAGCTGTCCTCGAATATTCAATCGGGTCCAAAACTTTCAGTGATTAGCCCTAATGATGTATGGTTGTTGAGAAAGATTGTAGAATTGAAAATTAGTGTGATCTGTTTGCCAAGAAATAAGGATAAAGATTGATGTCATTCCTACCATTTTTAGATTGTTTTATAAAAATGTGGGTCTGTAGCCATGTTTATTTAGTTTTGGATGCTGACTTGCTGTTTGTAGCCGGTTGATGCAAGTATGATACTTTGCACTGGTTCTTTTTGATAAGCCAAGCAGTAATCACAATGATTAGAGTAATACAACCAATAAGTTAATCAATAAATTGCAAGAATCATAGTAATACAAAAATAATATAAATATACATATAAATAGTGGGAGAACAAATTTATATGTAGTAAAATTTAAATTCATAATCTTTAATTCTTGAGATACGCGTTATAATCATAGATTACCTATAAAAGCATGAATTTCCTTCACAACTGTAAAAGCATGAATGCTATTGGCGTATAAGAGCACTCCTCCCTCCTTTTCTTCTATTTTTTTTTTCCATGCCCCCCTCTTTTACAACATGCCATATGTGCATTTTTCTTAATTTAATACTTTATCAGAAAGAAATAATTTGGGAAAAACATGATTACATGTCAAATTCAAATTTTTTGAACATCAACAATTCAATGATCAGATATTTGTTTGGACAGCTGATTATTTTTCCCAAATATATTTGCTTACATCATCATTACAATTTCTAATACACCTTTTTATCTTTCCAATTACCTTTTTATCTCACATATATCACATCACAAAAAGTGCTACAGTAAAAATATCTCAATTAACTTACAATCCAAACAAACATTGTCTTATTCTGTGCTTGCTATACACTCCAAACACTTGTAGCAAAACTAGATGACAAGGCAATAATGGACTGATATCAGTGGCGGATTTAAGGTGGGGGGGGGGGGCACGGGCCTCCACAGTATACATAAAATTTTGATATAATCTCAAGTGTATCCTCAGAGTTTTCTTATAAAGGAAGTGAAAGAATTACGTGGTCTTTTAAGTTGATTTATGAACTAATATTCTAAAAGAATATATGGGTCACAAAGTTCCATTTGACATAAGTTCAAAATGCCTTTTCATTTTAACTTATTTGTGAATATTTTTTTGGTTAAAAACCTAGAAAAAGAGTAGATAAAAAATTTTAGTGTTACTTTTGCCTCCCACTAAAAATTTTTTCTGGTTCCGCCACTAATTGATATTATCATTCTTTTCTTGCAGAGACTTCACCTGAACACTTAAAAAGAGAGAGAGAGAGAGAGAGAGAAAGAGGGTGGAGTCACAAAAGGATTGCCTAACCAACTCAGCTAGTTCAGTTGGCCACCAAAAAAGGGATTAAGTACCTCCTTAGGCACAACTTAGGGATCAAATCCCCTGACTATGTGTCCTTTCCAGAATTTCGTGGAACATGATCACGTGTTATTTATTTCCTTTCAAACCTCTCAATAGATTGGATAAGTTCATCCTCCTCCTTTTTCCCTAATATAGGACCAATTGTGTTGCACTAACAAAAAAAAGGATTGCCTTACCGAAAAATTATTTTCTCATACCCCCAAAATTAACTATTTATTTTTTTTCTTGTGTAGAATTGATACTTTTTTTTTTTGCATAATCCAATTTTTCTTCCACAATTACGTAATTTTTAGTTTGAAAGGGGGGAAAAATTGGAGTGCTTCAGGAATACTTTCAAGAATGTGAAAGTCAAGAGCCAAGTTAATTACCCATACCCGGCCTCTTCCTGGCCCAATCAAATTACCTGAAAACTTTCCGCCCATATCCGGCCCATAAGCTCAAATTTCACAATGCTATCGTACTCGTCTAGTTGTTTTCGCCTCTCTGTAAACAATCAAGAAATGTTTTCTTCAATTTCCTCTCGATTCTATTCCTACAATTTTTCTCACTTTGTTCTCTCCCAACTCCAAATTTTCCTACCCTTCCACACATTTGCTTCCAAAAATCCACTCTCTGTAGCTAAATTCCAGAACTCAACTTCATACTTCAATGAAAAACACCCAAAAACACCATCAAATTCCAATATTTCCGCCAATAAAACCATTCTTAAACCCTCCCCTGACAGCGCACATGAGTTTCTTGATTTCAACCCCACCACAGTTCTTGAAACACTCTCTTCGTACAACAATGACTGCAAAAGGGCATTGGATTTCTTCAATTGGGTGGAAATCCAATGTGGGTTCCAGCACACGACCGAAACTTACAACCGGGTCATTGATATTCTTGGTAAGTTTTTTGAATTTGATATTGCATGGGATTTGGTTGAAAAAATGAGGAAAAGTTCGGCTTTTTCAAAGCCTGATCGAACAACATTTAGGATTCTGTTTAAGCGTTATGTTTCAGCTCATCTTGTCAAAGAAGCTATTGATACTTTTAATAGAATGGAAGAATTTAATTTGAAAGATGAAGGTTCCTTTTCGAATTTGATTGATGCCTTGTGTGAATATAAGCATGTGATAGAAGCTGAAGAATTGTGCTTTGGAAAGAATGGAGATTGTGCTGAAGTGCTAAACTACAAATTGGATACGAAAATATACAACATTATTCTTCGCGGGTGGTTTAAGATTGGGTGGTGGAGGAAATGTAGGGAGTTTTGGGAAGAAATGGATAAAAGGGGTATTCCAAAAGACTTGCATTCTTATTCTATATATATGGATATACAATGCAAGAGTGGGAAGCCTTGGAGGGCAGTGAAATTGTTCAAGGAGATGAAAAGGAAGGGGGTTAAGTTGGATGTAGTGGCGTATAACACACTTGTTCGGGCTATTGGGATTTCAGAAGGGGTAGATGTATCACTTAAGCTTTACCGAGAGATGATTGAATTAGGTTTTCGACCAAATATAGTGACTTATAACACAATTTTGAAGCTTTTGTGTGAAAATGGGAGGTACAAGGATGCGCATAAATTTTTCAATGAGATGTTAAACAAGGGTTGTGAACCAAATGTAAGAACGTATAATTGCTTTTTTGGATGTCTTCAAAAGCCTGGAGAGATTCTAAAGTTGTTTGATAGGATGATTGGAACTGGAGTTCAGCCAACAATGGAAACATATGTCATGCTTATGAGGAAGTTTGGGAGGTGGGGTTTTCTACGACCTGTTTTACTTGTCTGGAAGAAGATGGAAGAGCATGGAGTGAGTCCAAATGAATTTGCTTACAATGCTTTGATTGATATTTTGGTGCAAAAGGGTATGGTTGATATGGCACGTAAGTATGATGAGGAAATGATGGCTAAAGGGTTATCTGCTAAGCCCAGGGTAGAACTTGGGACCAAGCTGATAAGTGGTGGACCTGAAGATGGTTGACTGCACTTCTTGTTTCATGACAAGAAATGTCTATTTTGCAGCTCAAGTGACTGCATCAGTGGATTATGATTGTTCATCTATTGAAAGATGCTGCAATCTTCTTTGCCAAGTGTTATTCTTTAATTTGTGTTCGATGCGTTGATAAACTTACTTTGGTATTTGTGAGTGGACAGTAGATTGAAAGATCTGTGGTGAAAGATGTTTGGCGCAGAGAACATGGGTAGGTGGATCCAAATGCATGAATGGTCTCTTGGGGAATTGGAGGTTTTAAACTGCAATTTCAAGGTCATGGTTCTCCTTTATAAAGCTGAAAGTGTGATCATGAAACTTTGGAGCTGAATGTTCCTGTTTTGCAGTTTTGCTTACCACATCTGGGAGATTGTATTTTCAGTCCCTTGCGTGGAAGACAACTTTGAGATTCTTACATCCCAAGCAGGACGTTCATTTACTAGACCAATGAAGATAAGGCAATGGTAAACATATATTTTCAAATTCAGTTGCTCTTCAATTCAGTATATTGTGCTATGTAAGTGGTTTGATGGAATAGAAGTTTATATTCACTAGTTACTAAGAAATCAATTAAACAAATACGTTAGGGAAAGGTGTAATATTTTCGTGACATTTAAGAAGATCTGTATTTCATACTAGTGGTTTTGACAACTGCAAAATTTAGACCTTGAAATTGGAGCTGCGTCTGATAGTTCTCTGATCAATTTTCAACTAAAGAAAGGTCTGCGGATTTCACAAACAGTGTATGTGCATTTGGACATACTAGCTTCCTAAAATGTAGAAAAGATGGCATCTTCTTTAATAGGTGAAATGGAAGATTCTGAGGAGAAGTTTTATGTTTTTGCTTATGTTCTTAAATGATGAAATATTATGCATTGACTTCTAAATCACTCCATGCAGGTAATCTGTTATTAATCTGTTTCTTTTTTGGGATCTTCAAAAGTCTAATTATGTTCCAGTTGTGTGTGAGTGGCACATCACATGCGGACATGGAAACAGTTTTACGCTTGGCTCGCATGCTAGGGGTAAAAGATTAAGTGGGAGAATTCCGAAAAGCCTGAGAAGTTTCTAGCTATGGATTTTTACTCAATGAAGCAACATGATGCTGTATGAAAGGATGCAATACATCAAGTACCTGCTGCCTGCAGCGCGTGGACATCTATTCTGATAATTTGCTTCGTTTTTGAATCCTACCACATATTTCAGTTATATTCTCTGTATCTTTCTGCAAGAGGAACCACCGAACAGATTTAAAGACAATTTCATTTTAAACATGGTGACATTGTTCTTTTAAGTTGTTTGCTTCTTCGGATGGTTGTCTGGCACATATAAGCTTTTTGGCCGTCTGGCATTATTCATGTGATTGGAACTTTTCTGATTTATGAGGGTGCTTAATCAGAGCAAGTTTTATGTAAATAGTGAAGGTTGTACATAGTTATAGGCGAAAATAAGCCCGTCTTCTTCAGTGTAATGAAGGTAATGGCTCAATGTAACAAGTGGGGTAAATGGAACTGCTGAAGGCATGCTAGAGCAGGGTGATTGGAATATAATGTATTCAAATGAGAATTTATCACCTTTGTTATTTCTCAATCTGCCACAATCTTCAAGCGAATCCCGGAAGGAGAGAACAGGAGAAGAACATTCAGGCAAATAAGATCAAAGGCGGCCTTGGCTTTGGGCCTTGGCAGAAGGCAGCTGCATGCATGTACGGGGATCCTTCTTTTTAGCTCTTGTGGCATTTTCCCAAGGTTGCTTGTTAGAGAGAATGTGTTAAAAAGCTTTTGTTTTATTACAGTATATGCTAAAAAAATAAAAAATTTCCAATAACAAACTACCAAGGAGAAGGGTACTGTTTATCGTTCATTATCTTAGGCTTAAAGTGAAAGAGAAAGGAAAGGCATTGATGGCAGAACAAATGAATATTCTACTAGCAAGTCCATCATTACATTCTGTGATTTAATTGTTATGAACTTGCGTAATATTCCTATGACACAAATTTTTTGTTTTTTATTATTAAATTTAGACTTTTCCAACTCATTTTTTCTTTGTCTTTTTCTTTCATGCGTGCATATGCCGCAGAAGGTGTAGCAAATTCAGACGGTGTATCAAGGAATATGATTATATATTTTACAGGTAAATCAAATGAAACGCATTTTTCACTCTTGGTGGATAACATCTTTACCTATTTATTATATGTTAAGTTCTCTTTGCATTCATTAAAGCTTCATCCTCCAAACCGATCACGAATTAACTCCGCCAGTGAATAAACATCGATTGTCTTCTTGCTTTACAACTCAAAAACAAGAAGTCTATCTGTCCATTCACCATGGATTCAAGCTTGAATCAAAATTTTGATGAGGATCGATGGATAATTCAAATCCGTCGAGCCATTGAGGAAGAGCTTGAAGAAGACAATGATGTACCTGTTAGTATTTTCAATGTCCCCAAAACCCTCAAAGTCAGCGATCCAGATTGTTATATACCCCAACAAGTTGCAATAGGTCCATACCATCATTGGAGATCAGAATTATATGAGATGGAAAGATACAAGCTTGCTTCGGCCAAAAGAACTCAAAAACAAATGCAATCCCTCAAGTTTCAAAACGTTGTGGACCAGCTGGCAAGGTTTGAGCCTAGGATTCGAGCATGCTACCACAAGTACTTAGATTTCAATGGTGAAACCTTAGCTTGGATGATGGCTATGGATGCTTCTTTCTTGCTCGAGTTCCTTCAAGTCTATGCCGCAAAAGAAGGTAAGGTACTAACTAGATTGTCATCAAGAATGTCTCATTTGGTTGATATTGCAGGAAGAAAGTCAGCACACAACGCAATTCTCAGAGATATGGTGATGCTTGAAAATCAAATTCCATTATTTTTGTTGAGGGAAATGTTGGAACTTCAGTTTTCTTCATTGGAGGCGGCAGATAATGTGTTACTGTCAATGTTAATTGGGTTTTGCAAGGAGCTTTTGCCATTTAAGATGATGGAAGAGCTGCCAAAATTTGAAGTGACGGATTATGCACATTTGCTTGACTTCTTGTACCGTGTCATCGTGCCTAAATTAGAAGGGCCATCTGAAATCACTGAAATTGATGAAGAAGGTGAAATCAAAGAAGCGGAAGAAAGTTATTTTGGAAAGTCAAGCCACGTTAAACAAATTGGTTATGTGGTCTGGAACATTATATCAAAGTTGAACAAAGTGTCGGTACGTCTGATCAAAAGAATATTGTTTTCAAAGCCGATTAAAGTCATACTAAAGCTGCCCTGGACGATCATCTCTAATCTACCAGTACTCAGACTCATTAAAGCACCAATTGAGTACTTGTGCTTCTCTCAAGATAAAGAAAATCAAAAGCCAGAAAATAAGAATTTAAACAGCACTAACATCAACAAACCTCCACTGGTGGAGGAAATCGAAATCCCATCTGTAATCGAGCTCTCTAAAGCCGGTGTACAATTTGTACCTACAAATCAAGGTATCTTGAGCATAAGTTTTGACGACAAAATGGCTACATTTTGTCTTCCCAGCATTAGTCTAGACGTGAACACAGATGCGGTCCTGAGAAACTTGGTTGCATACGAAGCTTGTAATGCATCAGGGCCAGTGGTTTTTACCCGTTACACAGAACTAATGAATGGGGTTGTCGATACCGAAGAGGATGCAAAGTTTCTGAGAGAAAAAGGGATTATCCTGAATCGTTTGAAGAGTGATGAAGAAGTGGCAAACATGTGGAACGGGATGAGCAAGTCTGTTAGATTGACAAAAGTTCCATTCTTGGATAAAGTGATTGAAGATGTTAACAAGTATTACAACGGCAGGTGGAAAATTAAGATTGGTAAATTCTTAAAGCATTATGTATTTGATTCGTGGCAATTTCTCACATTAATTGCTGCTATTGTGCTCTTGTTCTTGATGACATTACAAGCATTTTGCTCGGTCTATAGCCGTGCTCGTATATTCCATGTCAAACAAACTCAGTGATTTTTGTAATGTGAATCTGTCCCTGTAAGAATGCTCTGTACTAAAGAACATTTGCGCATGCCAGTTATGAGCAAACACCGGTGACAATACATTCATACCTTGTCCAATTGTTTTTACAATGAAGTGATGATTTTTGGTTTTACCTTATTAACTCAGAACCAAAATGTTCATCTGACATTATTTTCCCTCTTTAATTTACATAAACTTGTAGTTGTGAACCAATATGAATGAATTTATGTAAACAGGTAAAGTTTTCCGATTTTTCCGACAGGCTCGTTTTGAGGAGTTGAGTGAGCTTCTTGATTTTTTTTTTTTTTTAAAAAGAGAGAGATGAAGATGAACGACCAGATGGTGTCATTTCAAATAGTTCTGTGACTATATACTCTTTAAAATGTAGAAATCAGAAGAAAACAAGAAACTTGTTCCTTGGGACCGGTCTGTTGAAGATAGACCATAACAATCCAAATGAGGCCCACGAATAGCAGTGCATATGGCAATGATAAATGCGGGGAGAAATGTTCGATCCATCTGTATCTGTCCTCCAGAAGCAAAGGAAAGGACTAGGGCTGCAAACCGCGAGCCGCGCGCCTGCCAGTCAATACTCGATCGATCCATCCAAGGTGGGGCCAATCTCATGCGTGTACGGGGATCCTTCTTATCAGCGCTAGTGGCATCTTCCGAAGGTTGCTTCTCCTGGAGGATGTGTTACTGACTGTTAGTACGAACTACCATGCAAGATCAGTGAAGAAATACCCAACACTGTCAATAAGTTTAATTCAACAACTCGCAGAACTACAAAGAAATTTAAAAAAAGAAAGGTAATGCAATGATGCAGTGGCACAATTTTAAAATCAGATCAGTGTCAAGTTTTCGTTTAACATCACATTGGAAGCACAAAACCTCCAATAACAAACTGCTAAGAAGAAGGCTATGGTTTGTCGTTTATTATCTTAGGCTTAAAGGTAGAGAGAAACAAAAGGAATTGATGGTAATATTGCACTGACAAGTTTGTAACCATTATATGCTGTGATTTGATTGTTATAGACGTGCACAATATTCCTATGACCCAAACTTTTTGTTTTTCTACTGTTGAATTTAGACCTTTTGTCTTTTGTATATTCCCGTTTTCCTTGTCTGGAACCGGAAGTAGATGAAAGAACATGGAATGAGTCCAAATGAATTTGCTTTGGCGCTCGCAAAACGCTGTGGTTGATATGGCAAGCAAGTGTGATGAGAAAATGATGGCTAACAGGTTTTTCACGATGCTTTTTCTTTCAGATTAATATAAAACAAAAAAAAAAAGCATAGGAATCGTGGAATGAGGATAGAACTTGGGACCAAGCTGATATTTAAGTGGTGGACCTGAAGATAGTTAATTACAGTCTGTGTTCCATCACAAGGAAATTGCTATTTTGCACCTAAAGTGACTGCGCGAGTGATTCTGCTTGTTCATCTGTTGAAAGAGGCTGCAATCTACTTTGCTAAGCGCTTTTCTTTAATTCGTGTTTTGAATTAATGGCGCTACTTTGTTGTATGTGGGTGGACATTAGAATGAAAGATCTGTGATGAAATATGTTTGAAGCATGGAACTAATCTAAGGTGGATCGATGATTGTCGGTTGAACAAATCACAGCATGTTCTACCACGCACAACGCTGTGATTTAATTGTTATAAACGTGCTTAATATTCGTCTGACCCAAACTTTTTGTTTTCAGTTGTTAAATTTAGACTTTCTCAACTCACTTCCCCAATGTCTTTATCGTTGATACGTGTGTAGGCTGCCAGAAGGTGGGGAAAGTTCTGACTGTGGATCAAGGAATATGATTGGTTATTAGAATGAACCGCAAATGTCACTCTTTGTGGATAACATCTTTATCTATTTATATGTTAAGTTCTCTTAGCATTTCGTTAAAGCTTCATCCTCTAAACTGACCACCATTAACTCCACCATTGAATAAACATCGATTTTCTTTTTTGCTTTACAACTCTGAAACAAGAGTTCTGGCTATCTGCTTATTCAACATGGCTTCAGACTTTGATGAGCAACGATGGGTAATTCAAATACGGTTATCCCTTGAGGAAGAGCTTGAAGAATATAACGATCTACCTGTGAGTATTTTCAATGTCCCTAAAACCCTCACGGTCAGTGCTTTAGATTGTTATGTACCCCAAGTTGTTGCACTAGGTCCATACCATCACTGGAGATCAGAATTATATGAGATGGAAAGGTACAAGATTGCTTCGGCCAAAAGAACTCAAAAACGATTGCAATCCTTGAAGTTCCAAGACGTTGTGGACCAGCTGGCAAGGTTTGAGCCTAGGATTCGAGCATGCTACCACAAGTACTTAGATTTCAATGGTGAAACCTTAGCTTGGATGATGGCTATGGATGCTTCTTTCTTGCTCGAGTTCCTTCAAGTCTATGCCGCAAAAGAAGGTAAAGTACTAACTAGACTATCATCAAGAATGTCTCATTTGCTTGATCTTGCAGGAACAAAGTCAGCACACAACGCAATTCTCAGAGATATGGTGATGCTTGAAAATCAAATTCCATTATTTTTGTTGAGGGAAATGTTGGAACTTCAGTTTTCTTCATTGGAGGAGGCAGATAATCTGTTAATGTCAATGTTAATTGGGTTTGGCAAGGAGCTTTTGCCATTTAAGGTGATGGAAGAATTGCCAAAAGTTGAAGTGACAAGTTATGCTCATTTGCTAGACTTCTTGTACCGTGTGATCGTGCCTGAATTACAGGGACCATCTGAAATCACCGAGATTGATGAAGAAGGTGAAATCAAAGAAGCTGAAGAAAGTTACGTAGGAAAGCCTAGCCAAGTTAAACAACTTAGCCATTTGGCCCGGAAAATCCTCTCAAAGCTGAGCATATCCCCGGAGCTTCTGATTAAAAGAATATTTCGTTCAAAGCCCATTAAAGTCATATTAAAGCTGCCCTGGAAGTTCATCTCTAAACTTCCTGTACTCAAACTCATTAAAGCACCAATTGAAAACATGTGCTTCTCCGCAGATAAAGGAGGTCAAAAGCCTGACAATTTGAACAGCACCAACATCAAGAAGCCCCCGCTGGTGGAGGAAATCACAATCCCATCTGTAACTGAGCTCTCTAAAGCCGGTGTAAAATTCATGCCTACAAATCAAGGCATCTACAGCATAAATTTTGACGACAAAATGGCTACATTTCGTCTTCCCAAGATATGTCTAGATTTGAACACAGGGGTGGTCCTGAGAAACTTGGTTGCATATGAAGCTTGCAATGCATCAGGGCCATTGGTTTTTACACGTTACACCGAATTATTGAATGGGATTATTGATACCGAAGAGGATGCAAAGTTTCTCAGAGAAAAAGGGATTATTCTAAATCATTTGAAGAGTGATGAAGAAGCGGCGCACCTGTGCAATGGGATGAGCAAGTCTGTGAGATTGACGACAGTTCCATGCTTGGACAAAGTGATTGAAGATGTTAACAGGTATTACAATAGAAGGTGGCAGATTAAGATTAGTAAATTCTTGAAGCATTATATATTTCGTTCGTGGCAATTGCTCACACTAATTGCTGCTATTGTGCTCTTGTCGTTGACGACATTACAAGCATTTTGCTCGGTCTATAGCTGTTCTCGTGTATTTCGTATCGACCTAGATGAGTGATTTTTGTTATGTGAATCTGTACCTGTAAGAACGCCATTCTATTTTGGTGTGTACTATACTCAAAGATATATTTAGGCGAACCAGTTATGAGCAAATAGTAGTGATACCACATTCATGCCATGTCCAATTGTTGTTACAATGAAGTGATGATTTTTGGCTTTGCCTTATTCAAAACGAAAAATTTTCATCAGACATCGTTTTCGCTCTTTAATTTACATAAACTTGCAGTTGACATGAATTCATGTGAACAGCTAGGGTTTTCCAGTTTTGACCACACAATCTCAAATCTAAGTGGTGATTCTTGGTATTAATTAACTGCAACGGAAACTTGAGTGGAGGAGCTACTCAGGTGTTAGTCCTCACAATCTCTCATAATCACATGGTGACGATATTTTACTCTTTCTATCTCTCTCTTTTTGTAAATCCTTCAAGAAAAAACTCACGACGAATTGAAATTTGAAACTATATGCAGCTATATGCTTCATCATTTGTTCAAGTTTATTTTTGTTGGACAAAGAGCAATTCTCCAAGTTGAACTCGTCTTTTTTTTTTTTTTTGTTTTGGTTGCCGGTGGGAGGAGAAGCTCAAATTGAATTTTAAAAAAAAAAAATAGAAGGAAGAACAAATCAAGAAACATAAGCGTGGAGACTGGTCTATTGAGGACAGACCAAAACAATCCATCCATTTGAGGGTCACGAATAGCAGTGCATATGGCAATGATAAATGTGTGAACCAAATGGTTCGATCCATTAGTCATCCAGAAGTAAAGAAAAGGACCTGCAAGCGGGCCCAATTTCACCAAGAAGTTTGACTTACACATTTCTCCACAAGACAACCCGGCTGCTTCTTTTTTTCCCGTAAAGATGCTTATCCCTAGAAAACTTGCGCTGCTATGTTAATGGTTCTGGGAAATACAAAAGAAGAAATCTTAGCAAGTGATTGATTTTGGCACAAGTATTATTCTTTTTTTTTTTTTCCCCTTTTGTAAACAAGCTTTACCCGTAAAGAACTTGAACTACTACTTTATTGGTTTTCATATTTTAGAGATTCAAACAAATCTGAAAAAACAAAAGATGAGATCTCAGGCATTATTTTTACTTTAATACTAAAACCTGCAATTGATAGGGATCTTGGTAATCAGTATATTATATATATAATATGATTTGGTGCTAGGTGCCAATCAAGTAATCAACCCTCTGTATCTTCCTCCCCGTCCACTTCAGAACAAATATTTGGTCTTTAGTGTTTTTTTTACTTCTGTCTTATGCAGAATTCAAGCACATTGCCTATGAAGACTTGGATTGTATGTACAAACCTTTAATTTGGTTAATCCTGTCTTGAGGCTCTGGCCAAAGTTTCCTTCATAT